TTTTTTTAGACGGATTCTCACTTTCACCCGGGCTGGAGTGCAGTGGCACGATCTCGGCTCACTGCAACCTTCGCCTCCCGGGTTCAAGTGATTATGTTGCCTGAGCCTCCCAAGTAGCTGGGATTACAGGAGCCCACCCCCACGCCCAGATAATGTTTTTTTTTTTTTTTTCGTATTTTTAGTAGAGACTGAGTTTTGCCATGTTGGCCAGGCTGGTCTCGAACTCCTGGCCGCAAGTGATCACCCGTCTCTGCCTCCCAAAGTGCTGCGATTACAGGCGTGAGCCACCACGCCCAGCCACAGCTGCTGTTAATCATCCTCATAAAGGTAGTTCCAAATACAGGCTCTGGATGGAGTGATAGGATGTCTCCTATCTCCTAAAGCTGACAATTTTTGTGTGGCTGATTGAACAAGCACTGTGGAAAACGACGGACACCGCTGTCCCCAGGCTGAGCAGAGCAGCTCTGAGATCAATTTGAATCTTGTACAACTCCGGCCTCACCGTTCCTCTGTTTCATGGTAACCCTTATGTGACCATTCGTCCGAGGGAAACCAAGAGCGTGATTCTGAAGTTCGCCTGTGCTCCTTGATACCTGATTGTGCCATTTCCCGCAGCCTGGAGACACCTCCCAGCAGGCGGAGGAACTGCGTGGATTGCTGGGTGAGTAGAGCTGAGTCCACCGTGTGGCCAGACCTCTTGGGATCCTGGGTTTGAGCTTGAAGCAGATGTCATGTGTGCCATTAGGGCTCTGTACGAACCAGGAGGAATGAGTTTCTTTTCTTTGGCCAACCTTGATTCAGTAGTTGGACGTAGGGTGCGTGGATTTCCCAGTGAAGCTGCTCTTTTCTGCCCTTCCAGTAGCATGAATAGGTTTCATTCAGGTCCAGCAATGGATGGGACCATCTCGTTCATCCATCCATCCATCCATCCATGTAGTCATGTTTTCAGCAAGTAAGTATTAAGCGTTTTGCCCAAATATTGGGACTCAAAGTCGCATAAAGCAGAGCTTGTGTCCTAAAGGAGCTGGAGGCTGTGGTCAGCAGAGGACATCCGCAAAGATAGCAGGTCCTAACGGCCTGGAAACTGGCAGTGCTGTCTCATGTAGTCACAGGAACTTTTAGCAGGAACGTGTGCGGTCAGCAAGGGCTGCTGTGGGACTTCTAGCAGGAACGTGTTCAGTCAGCAAAGGCTGGTGTGGGACTTTTAGCAGGAACGTG